ATTTTGATAACATTTTAATTATTAATGTTTATAGATCGAATTATACTATTGAATAATTAAATAATATTGTAAAAATTAATATAAAAGTATCCGATAATGGTTTAATTGAAATTAAAAATTATGAAAATAATTTTATTTTTGATAATAACCTTTGTTATTTAATTGTAATTTTCATCACAATTTTAACAATAATTTTTACACTATATTTTCTGAATCTTTTTAAATTCAAACTGTTGATATTTATCACACCTTTAACAATAAGTTTTACACTATTTCTTTTGATCTTTTAAACATCGAACTGTACCAGAAACATTTAACAAAACTATTTCAAAAAATTATACAAAATTAGAAAAAAAAAATTAGCCCATGAAAATTGATATGTTGAAAATTGATTTGATATTGAGATGTTGATAAACTAAATTTGATATTTCGCTGTTGGAAAAATGAATTAACATGGAATGTTGAGAACCCATTGTTAAAAACATTGATAAGCTTAAAACTCGAAAAAGAACATAATTAGTATAAGAAAAAAAAAACAATTTAGTTTTGATACTGCAAACCTTAATACCTGAAAAAATAGCATTTTTAAAAAAATGTATATTATCGAATATCGACCACCTACTCATAACTAGTTATGAAAAAAACTTTTCTCTAAAAAAACTAAATTCTAAATTCTAAACTCTAAATTAAATTTTCACGTAATGAATAATACCGCATAAAATAAATAGGCCAACAATTGTTATCTATCTACCTGCTGATATATTAAAAACCAATATAAAATCATAGACATACCAAACGGAATTTTATAAATCCTCAAAAAAAATTCAGTCTTAATTTTAACACACAAATAGTTGGACGCCCAAGCGCAATCATTTCTGGGTATTTTTTCATATAATATCGAATTGATGCTAAACCATGAAAAATTATCCGAGCTAATGCAGAGCTCAAATTCTCACAACAATTTTTGCCAAAACACGATTGATGAATACGGAATATAGTAAGTTTTTTTGAAGATTTGTTATTTTTTAATAGTGTTAACCAGACAATCCGCTCAGAAACTACAGTGTTAAAAAAATCTTTAAATTTTTGTATCAAAGGAATAATAACTTCACTTAAATACTGTAATAAGTTATTTAGGAAAAAAAATTAATTTCTTGAAATATTAAATAATTATTTAACATACAAATCAAAGATAAAGCATTACATTAAAATTCTGCTTGATTATTTTTTTAAAAGTGTAATTTATGTTATTAATAAAAATAATTCGAAAATACAATGGGAACTACTTTGAAAATATTAGAAAATTTATAAGAAAAAAATTGCTCTGTATATTGGCTCTAATATACTAAATTATCATTTTGTTTACATAGGAAAGGATCTTGTAAGTAAAATATCTGATGTAGATTTTGAAAAATCAAAAATTCTCATATAAATTTATCAATTTATCTTGAACCTATAACACCTGATGAAATAATTATTAATATTAATTCTCTTAAAAATAATGTTTCTCCAGGCTCTGATAAAATCACAGTAGAATTTCTAAAATTTGTAAAAAAGTTAGTTGCTAGTCCTTTGTTAAATATTTGTAATTTATTCATTGAAAAAAATTATATTCTAAATGAATGCAGATTAAGCATGCAGATATAGTACCTATATATAAGAATACTGGAAGTGAATCAGATCCAAATAATTATCGGCCAATTTCTCTAATTTCTCTAAATTTTTGAGAAATGTATTTATAAACGAGTTGTAAATTTTTTATATAAAAATAATATACTATCTAATTCGCAATTTGGTTTTCGAGAAAGGAGAAGCACAGAGAAAGTGATAAATAAATTAATCTCTCATATTAAAACCGACAAAAAATATAAACTTGTTATATTCTTAGATTTAAAAACAGCTTTTAATACAGTAGATCAGAATATTTTATTATCAAAATTAGAAAACATAGGTATAAGGGGAATTGCACAGGATTTGTTTAGAACATATTTAGAAAACCGAACATGCTGTACAAAAATTGGTAAAACAAAATTTGAAAATAAATGTATTTATTATGGTGTTCCACAAGGAACATGTCTAGGTCTATTGTTATTTATTATTTATATCAATAGCTTAACAAACATTAAAATAAGTGGAAATTTAGTAATATTTGCAGACGATACAGCTCTAATAGTTGATGGAGATATTTCAGAAGAATTGTATGAAAAAGCTAATAATGATCTTTTTAAAGTTAGGAATTGGCTGATAGAAAATAAATTATCTCTAAATATTTCCAAAACACAGTATATAGATTTTTCCACAAAAATTGAAAAAAATAATAAGTTAATTAAGTTAAATTATTATTTATAACTATTTTTGTAAAAATAATAAAAATTTTAATTATTCTTCAATATCTCTGGTAGATTATTATAAATATCCAGGATGTATAATTGATTGAGAATTTACTTGGAACCTTCAAACTGAAAAAGTAATTTCCAAAATTAAAATTACCAGCTTTAAATGTAGTAATAGAAAGAAGTTTTAAAAAATCTGCATGTTCTGCTCTAGTTCAATTGCACTTACAATATTCAATATCTATCTGGAGAGAAAAAGAAATCTTCGTAATACTACAAAAATTGCAATATTCAATATAAAAGATGTTGCATCAATGCAAGATTTGTTGGACCACAGATTTAAAAAATAATTTTACAAATTAAATTATCTATTACTGCAACACTGTGAAATATTTAGTTATTAAATAAATAAATTAAAAATAATATTTGAAAAAAAATAAATTTAAAAAAAATTAAAAAAATTAAATGTTTTAAAAAGACTATTTAAATAATCGCGTTGAGCACAGAGTTTAGTAATCACTGGTCAAATAATATTATCTCAGTTTTTATTTTACTTTAAAATTAACATTCTTTTTTATTATTTGTTTTTATTAAATTATCTATGTATTTTCTGATATTTTCTCTTTTTATTTTTGTTGAATAATGTCCCCAAGCTACAGTATCCATACGATTTTCTAGAATATATCATTTATCATCATATACACTAAGAGCTTTTTTGTTTTGTTCAACGGTATAAATATTATATTTATCTGTTCTAAAAGTGTTCTGTTTTACATATTTTGGATTTTTATTTTTAAACAATTATAAAAATCATTAAAACATAATTCATTTTTAACTATGGGTTTTTCACACCTTTTGCTTTTTTAATTTCATTTTTATTTTCAAATACTTTAAATGTGTATAGTTTAGATTTTAATCCAACAAATTCAGTTATTTTTTGACCATAAAATTCATCTTTAAATTTACCTGAAACTTTTTTATTTATTTGGGGTATTCCATATTTATTATTCTCAGGATAATTTGAAAAATCAAATTCATTTAAAAGTTGTTTATTATTTTTTATATCTGTATAAAAATCATCAGTTGTAATTTTTACTATTAAAGAATCTGTATCTGTGTATAATAGTCTAATATTTTTTCCATATATTTTTTCAATACGCTATAATAAAAATAATACATTCGAGTTTTAAATAAATCTAAAATACACATTCCTAAATAAATTGGTTGTTTTAATTGAACCGTAGTTTTTTTCATATGTACAGCTACTAAGTTTTCTATAAAAATAGTCGCTCGATCAAAATTTGGTTTAGTAATCCACTTTTCTAATCAATCTATTTTCTCCCGTCATTAATTAATTGTATATTTTTATTGTTTCTTGTGTTCATTAAATTTAATTTTTAAAAAAAGAAATTGAATTTAAATTTTATTTTTTTAAAAAATAGTTCAGGTTTAAAATGTCTTTAAAAAATATATATTTCGAACAGATTAAGGATGAGTTTTATTACGGTAAATTTGGTGAATTTAATTTGATCATAGATAAAAATACAGGATTTTTTAATGCAACTAAATTATGTAGACAAGGAAACAAACTATATAGTAATTGGACACAAAATAAAAGAACTAAAGATTTATTTTCTTACATAAAAAGTTGGGTCTCGGGGGGGTACTAAGTAATTAGTACTATGGGTATGGCGAACCCAGGGCCCTAAGCCCCACACTGACTTTAATTAGTTGGTGTGGACTGGTCTTCCAGGTTGGAGGTTGTGCGTAGGGCCGACAACACTACCATATAAAAAAGTAAATGTTTAGAAACAAAAACATTATTCTTAGCCTCGGATGTAAGAGATAACGGATTTACAAATTGGAACTTGGAATGTGCGATCTTTGTTTAGGGCTGGAGGTTTGACGACATCTCTATGATGTCTTGAGCGATATGATATGGATATTACTGCTATTCAAGAAGTGAGATGGACAAGTTCAGGGAGCTTGAAGTCTCAAGGAATGACTCTATTTTACAGCGGTGGGGACAAACAAATTTTACTACCACAAATTTCAAATTTCAAACCTATAAATGAACATTTATATTACATAGAACTTAAATGTAAGTGGCACAATATGATTCTAATTAACTGTTATGCACCCACTGAAGACAAAAATGAGGAGATAAAATTGAGTTCTATGATGACATGCTATACAATTCTTTACCAGCTAATAAACCGAAAATAGTAATCAGAGATTTTAATGCAAAAATTGGAAAGGAAACAATGTATAAACCATTAATTGGATCTGACAGATTACATGAAGAATCTAATGATAATGGAAATAAGTTGATCTCATTTCCAGCTGGTATATATATGACTACATAGTAGCACATATAATAGTCCCACATGTTTCCCGCACAAGAATATTCATAAACGAACTTGGATTTTGCCATGTGGATATGTAAGAAACCAAATAGACCACATAATAGTTGATTCACGAATTAAATCCTGTGTAAGGGATGTAAGAAGCATGAGAGGGAGTAGCGCTATGTCGGATCATTTCCTCATAAGAGCAAAAATAAATATCAGAATATCAACAGAGTGGCGAAAGAAACAGAAATATAAAGAGAAAATAAATAGAGATGCGCTGAAAACATCAACAGCTAAAGTATAGCAAGAAAAGTTAATGTTGAAATTACAGAATATACAAGAAAGACCAAATATAAGTGAAACATGGAAAGAAGTAGAACAAACAGTAAAAACCATAGCTGAAGAAGTACTTGGGTACATACCAGGAAAAACAAGGAAAATGTGGTTCAATGAAGAATGTAAAAGAGCTTCACATGAAAACGATAGAGCCCGCATGAAAGTCCTACAAGAACTCAATAAAGATAACAAAAGATTGTTAGCACTTAAAAAAAGAGAGGTAAAAAAGGTGATTAGAGTGAATAAGAGACTGTGGGAAAAAGAACGCATTCAAACTATCAAAAATAATAAAAATAGGCATTCGAAAATATTTTTTGAAAAAGCAAATGAAGTAAGACATGGCTACAAGTCCAGACCAACGGTTATGAGAAAAAGTGATGGAACTCTTCTAACAGGCAACAAAGAAATTGCATGTGAATTCAAAGATATGTTTACAAAGCTTATGAACCAGCCAATAATTAATATCACTGTAAACGAGCTAACGACTGTAGAACAGCTACTTGAAAACGATTGTAACGATTAATAGAGAAAAACTATGGAATGTCATGAGCCAAATGGGAATACCAGCAAAACTGGTCCGAATAATAAGAGCATATACATATGAGTCCAAAAGTAAAGTAAGTTTTGGAGGAGAGGTATCAAATGAGTTCCCAGTAACGATCGGACTCAGAAAGGAAGATGCTCTATCGCCAGCTTTGTTTAATATTGCACATGGAATTCCATGGGCAATTTTTTGTATGAGGTTAATAAAGAATCTAATAATAGAAAAATTGGTAAAATTTTAATAGGAACTTATATATCCAAAGAATTAATTTTAGATTTAGCTTCTTGGATTTCTCCAGAATTTTCTTTTAAATGTAATGATATAATTCTAAGTTATTTTGAAAAGGAATACAAAGATTCATTAAAAGAAAAAAATGATAAAATTGATATTTTAATTAAAGAAGTACAAGAAACAAGAAAACAATACACACTTGTGCAAAAAACTTGATTCAATAGGAATAAAGTTAGATGAAACACAGGATCAAGTAGATGAAATAAAAGAAAAATTGGAAGATGTAAATAATAAATTAGATAAAGTACTTCCTGATATAAATATTGATTATAAGACATCAGAACTAAAACACCAATATATTTTATTTAAAGATAAATATAATGTTAATTCTTAGATGTTTTTAAGAGGACAAGACAAAGATATAAAAAATAAAAAGAATTTGTACAATGGAACATATGAGATTACTATAGATTCAAGAAGGAAACGAAATCCTATTGATTTAATAAATAGACTTAAAGAAAAAATTCAAGAAATCCATGAGGATTCTTATGATGATATTATTGAAGAATATAAATTTTCAAATAAATATATTAATTCATGTCCTTCAGATAGATGAGCTTTGATTTTAAATTTAAAGATAGAGCATTCAAAAATAATTTTTAAAGTAAAAAAAAATATTTTTAAGGGATTATTCTGAAGAGGAATTTTTAAGAATCATAAACAGATTATATGATGAAAAATATGATGTTTAATATCTGTTCTGTTATTATTATTAAAAAGATTCTTTCAAGTTCCAATTAATTTTGATTTATTTAAATATTTAAAATATTTAAATTTTAAAATTGTTTTCTGTAATTCTTCATTATAAAAACTTCTTTCAATAGTTTCATTATTTAAGTCTTTGATTTTATAAGTAATTGGATTTGTATTCAATACTTCTGTAACAATAAAAACTTATTGTGTCCAATTAGAGTAAATTTTGTTATCAAACGTTTTTCTGAACTTCTTTATTCGAACCAGATTATCAATCTTAAATTTAATTTTAGATTTAGATACTTCATTAGGGAATAATTTTTTAAAAACTTTTTTTTCATTAGATTTATTTACTTCAAATAGTATCATTCCAATTCTTTGATGAATATATTTAAAATATTATTCGTTCAATAAATCTTGTAAAATATCAATCCATCTTTTATTTTTCTGAACTTCAAACTGTATTTTCATTTTACCATTTAAAATTCTGTTGAAACGTTCAATAACTTCAGATTTCTCTTCGTTTTGTGTATGATATAATTTTTTATTGTGTTTTGTTAACATTTCTTTAAACTGTTTAATTACAAACTCTGTTCCTTTATCAATGTGAAGTAATGTTGGTGAATTATGTTTCTGTAGTTTAGCTCTTTTTATTATTTCTTCAAAACCTTTAGTAACATTTTTTCCATCTTTTTTCTTAAGAAATTCAGACCAAGCAAATTTTGAAAAAGTATTTATAACATTCAAAATACATAAATAACCTGAATTTTCATCACCATAATTTCTCATTATAACTAAATCTGCAACCCACAAATCATTAATACCATATGTTTTTATTTTCCTTTTTGGAAATTTAGATTTTACTGGTTTATGAAGTTCTTTTGTAATATTTAGTTCATCTTGTTCTGTTATTTTTTCAAATTTTATTTTTGAGATTGTTTTTTTTCCTAAAGAAGCTATAATAAATTTACTTTTGTTTGTTTTACATTTTAAACATTGTATTGAAATTCTCCATAGACCATTTGTTGTTTGAACCTTGATTGGTTTAAAATTTTTAGTTTTATTTTTACATTTGTGACAATATATTGGTTCTAAAGTTCTTTGTCCATATTTATTAATGTAATAAATTCATTTTTTTTCTTAATAGAATATTTCTATTAAAAATATATTTTTAATATTAGATATTTATTCTAATTGTATTATTAACAATATTGTATGTAAATTCAGATGTTGAAACTAAACAAATAAAGCAAATTGTACAATTTAGTACATACTCATTAAATTCTGCATTCAAAATAATATTATTTGTATTTCCACTAACATTATATGGTTGTCTAGTAAGATTTAATACGTACATTGGTCTTGCTTTTTTAAAATTTCTAGGATCAAGGTACATCGGAAGAAATTTATAATGTGTTTTATGGAAAGTTTTTTTATGGAAATATAGATTCATAGTATGGAAATGGTTCTATATTTTAATATTTATCTAAAATTTTCTTAAGTTTATTATGCTCTTTTGACATGTCTATTAAAGAAAATAATATTTTTTTTTAGGACAGATTTTAAAGATCATAAATATTTGTATCAATTTTAT